CCCTAAAAAAAAAAGAACCTTTTTGTTGACTGGGGAGGGGGGACAATTACCGGAAAAAAAAAAAAAAAAACTGAAATGATGAAGTTAATGCTATGTGGAACTTTCGCTTGCCAAGAATTTATTTAGCTACCCTTGTCGATTCTGTTCTGATTCCTTCCATTTACCAGATTACCATGTTACTCATCTTGGCCCATTTTCATTATTTTTCCGTTGTATCTCTTGTCTTAGTTATTCGTAGCCAGTCATGAGAAGTTCCATGCTGAAGCTGCTGGAAATTATTGGAAATCAATCGGGGAGCTGATTCCTAATGAAGTACCAACAATTGAAAAGAAGAAAGGGAAAAAGGATGACGAAAAGAAGCCATCGATCGTTGTGATTAATGGGCCAAAGCCTGGGAAAGCCACTGATTTATCAAGAATGAGGCAGATACTATTGAAGCTTAAGCATAATACACCTCACCACCTCAAGCCTTCTCCACCAGCAGGCCCTTCTACAAAAGCTGATTCTGCCTCAGCTCCAGTTGCCACCGCAGTAGCTTCCTCCTCTGAGCCTGTTGCTGTTGCTTGATAGGAAAATTCTCCCCTCCACTGGAGGCATATGTCGTTTTGTTCTTAATGTAGTTCTCCTTTCTATCTGTATATGGTGTCGATAAAGTAGGATTGAGTGGAGTGTTACAGCAGAGCTTCCATCATCTGCATAATGGTAGAATTCTTAGGTGACAGCGAGTTATGTGGTCGTTTATAAAGTATTTGAATTCTGTGCAGAGCTCTTGAGCTTAGCCAAATGCCAATGATAATTTAAAACTCAATTTATGCTTTTGTATCCTGCTCTTTTTCCTTTATTCCTGTTTTGGGTCTCCCGGTTCTATCGGAAACAGCCTCTCTACCTCTCCAGGTAGGGGTAAGGTCTGCGTACACACTACCCTTCCCGAACCCTACTTGTTATACTGGGTATGTTGTTGTTTGGTCTCCCGGTTCTCGTCATGGGTTAGAATTTATCATTTTTACTTTGAACTTCAACATTTTCTCTTATCACACGAAACTTGATCTATTTCTTTTATAAGCCAAATTATTGGGGCTCTTTAGCTTGCAATTGAGATGATTTTTCTATTTTCCAATACTTTAGTAGTCTATTTTGTTCAGCATAGAAGCAAACCTTGTACACTTTTATCATCCCCGATGAATCAAATAAATCAGCTAAATTCTGTTTCACCATATAATGGAGTAACAATTCACAGTGGTTGTTAATATCACTGCCTCAGTCGCATTCACCCAATATTTCTCCTCTAGGAATCTAGGAGATGTTAACAGAAGTAGCAAATCAAGCTCTCAAGGAACTAGCGAACAGTTTCATTTATTCATCTTTAAGACAGACTTCATTGTGTGCTCTGCGTTGAATAGATACAGAGACGTAGTTTTTGCATAGAAAGAGGCTTTTCCCTTCTTTTGCGACGATAAAAGGCAAAAGCTTCTTTTTTCATGTCAAAAGTGAAACCCCTTAAAGCTCAGACACAATGTTCAGACCTTCTAATCTTGTATATACGTCTCGTGCAAATGGCACAAGAAACTAGATCACATTTCTCATGAATAATAACACGGAAAATTGGTTTCAGCACATAACTCATGATACATGGCTTCAACTAGTACCTAACCAGTGCTTATATATCTTTACATATTCAAGTGAACTAAATCTATTGGTTTCTCCTGATAAACAATGGTATTCAGGTGCTAAAATTCTCATACTTCACTGCTCCTAAAATTAGAAATTAAATCCTGCAGCAGGAAAGGAGAATCATCACCTTCCGTGCAAACTGGGAGGAGATCGAGCACCTTTATCGCTGTTAATATCATCATCAGCTTCAATCCCATCCACGCACGGGGCATTGTTATTAAAACTCACTTCAGAACTGGCATTACTGCTCGTAGCAAGTGGAGAATCAGATACACTTACTGTCCTGCTTCTATTAGGCCCTGATCTCACACTGTACATAGAGGATGCTGGAATATTAGTCATCATAGGGCGTAGATTACCTGGGATGCTTCGCCTTATATCCTGTCCAAGAGGAATATCTAGAATTAAGCAAAACCACGAACAAACAGGCCAAGAGGGAAAAGCTTCTAAGACTTGAAAAGCTACCAAAAGACCAACATAACATGTTTTACAAAATCTTCGGGTGTCCTCAATCTACAGAAGAGCACCATATCATCTTAATGCCAAAAATATAGACAAACCGTCATTTTGTTAGAAACATCAAGTGATTACAGTATATTACCTAGCTGAAGATAGAAGCAACAAATGAAAGGGGTATACATACCATATGCCTAATAGCCATATCCAGGGATTTCTTTGAAAATGTTCTTCCAAAGCCTGAGCTGTCAGGTGATGAAGACTTTGTAGATAAGTTACTCCGTGGAGACTGTTTATCATCCTGCTTTGGAGGAGCCAGCTTCCGCATATTTACTACCCTTTCAACCATCTTACTTCCAACCATAACAGGGCTTACATTGTCATTAGCTTTAGCATGCAATCGACTCATAGCTGGGATAGGTACAGAGCTTCCACTGCTATGCGTAACACCATTAGGAGGACGTCCTCTTGCTGGAGAGCATGATTGTCGTCTAATCCTTCCATTTGAAGCTGGCTCAATAGATGAAGATCTAACACTTGGAGCTCCAGGTCTACCCCTTGTAGCAGAAATTGGTCTGTCAGATAATGATGTCCTTAAATTGGGTGGCGCATCAAGGGAGAATCCTGGCATATCTGAAGGCTTCCATGGTCTGGGCTTTATAGTGGGAGAACTAGGACGTGAGGCTGAAGGATTTCTGGCTGAACCTGTAGCTGTAGCTGACTTAGCTGAAGAGGCAGATGAAGATCTAACCAGTGGAGCATTTGTATTAGTTGTACTAGTCATTGAAGGTGGCCGACGTGTTGGAGTTGCTGTCCTTGATGCGGACTTTGATCCAGGAATAGACGCCCTGGTAGTTGGCGTTGAGGACCTTGCACTAGACCTTGCAGTAGGCGTTGAAGATCTTGGAGGTGCTGTGGCTTTAGCAGAAGTCAAAGTGGCACGAGAAGTAGGTGTTGCAGACCTTGATTGTCTAGATGCTGTTGTGGTTGACATTGTTTTAGAGGTTGTAATAGATGTCGGTCTGGATGCTGCAGTAGATGAGGGTCTAGACCCTGAGGTCAAAGTGGATTTAGATGTTGTGCTTAAAGTCGGTCGTCCAGTGGGAGTTGAAGGTCTTGATCCACCTGAAGATGATGGTCTCCGGAGGCCTGAACTTGAATTATTTAATACAGGAGAGGAAACTGGCTGTCTAGACGATAAGTTGCTTCTTGACGTTGGCTCGGCTTGGGGATTTGCCAACTATATCCACAGTAACAAAATGTAGAATAAAATTAGCCCATAAAAATAACTTGGAACGTAAATCACTTAGATTAAGACACAAAGTAAGAAAGAAGAATCTTAACAAATTCCACCTGAAATTGCATATTTATGGCAAAGTGGCAGGTAAAGTTATGTATTTTAGTAGATCCTAGGAACACAAACCATTAAGGCTTAAGTGATGCAACTCAATAAGGGAGACAAGTCCTAACTTCAATCTCTACATGCTCCTAGGAATCTATTAAAACTCACAAAAGAGGCTGCACTGAGAGATGGGTACATAGTAACTCCACATGCTTACAAGGACCTTCAAAAAGGAAACATATCTTCCAAACAAGAATAGGAACAATTGTGAAATATTAAAAGCAAATATTTTATTACTAATTGCATTTGATTGCGTGCTGGAGTCACTACGTGCATGCATTTTTTTTTTTTGAGAAAGGTAACAGTACTACATGCATGCATATTCAGTTAAACAACCTGTCATGCCCATTTTATCTAATTATAGAAATTTCTTTTTCATTAACGGAAGCGATGTGAAATAACTCCATGATTTTCAGATAACATTTCTCATGTTAAGCAATAAACAACTTAACTGCCCATCTATAATACTTAGCCACAATGCCTCATATCAGATGTTATAGAGTGGAAAGTTAGAATAATATATCCTTACTCTAGATTTCAATGCAGTAGGACGAGCTTTAGGAGTTCCAAGTTGACTCATTACCGTCTTCTGCGACTCCATCTCAAGTGAAGGAAAAAGAGGAGTACCAGGAGGTGTTAATAGCCTGAAATACAAAAAATAACGCCTCATAATAGAGCACAGAGAAGTACCCATAGTGAAAAAACACGAGCAAGAGTTATTGCAACATAGAGACATCTTACTTATGTAGCAAATATAACGCAGATTCAAGAAATACCTATTTGATTTATGAAATCTAAATATAGCATGCCACCTACTCTTTTTACATATTCATGTTAAACATAAGATAAATCACCCTTAATAATTTCCATAGTTAAGCCTGTGGAAGAAAAATTCTGATATTCATGGTATTGCATGTTGTTGTGTCACCATGACGATTATGGGTGTTAAAATAGGGCATTATTAAAAGATAATTTTGTAGACCCATCACATGAAATATCTCCAACTTCTTGGAATTCATCAAATTTAGAAAATAACTAGATTCATGTAGGACATGGGCATCTATAAGCCGGTGTAACTAAGAGAAGAGCGGAAAGAAGGAATCACAAAATCAATAATTACCAATAATCTAACTCCTTGAGTTAGTCTGAGGAATAGCCTCTCATTCCTGGTTTCTTTTTAGTGCATCCACGAGGCTCTAATGCGTATAGGAGATTGGCTGTCGTTCATTCAGAATCATATTATGTTGTATACGGGAGATTTTCCCTTTATTGATTAAATTATTCACCTTATCAAAACAAAACAAAAAACTCCAAGCCTTAGAGAATATGTCATTGCGTATATATTAGCAAGTAATCCCTCTCACTAGTTGCCTTTCAAAAGCATTTTACATTATCCCATTTCCACGTAAAGCAGAACAAAACACGATTGGAAGCAAATTTTCCGCATAGGGAATATCAACTAGTAGGAATTAACGTTAGCCTTTATTAGGCCCAGTAGTTGATAAAAATTACTTAAGTTTGGTTAGAGATTGTATGACATTGTTGAAAGAGGTGCTAGACATAGATCACTCGACATTTAGAGAATCCCTTATTTGTCTAGGACAAATTATTGATCAGTGGTATGAATAGGATACGACTGAGCAGAATTTTTATAGTGGATTCAAAGTTTATTCCAACTAATTTGGAATTGACGCGCAGCTATTGTAATCACAGCACTTGGATATAACAATTGGTTTTTCTACTTTATAATTGACCACCGAATTTAAATGTGAATAGTCATAAGCTCGTCTGTTCTCATCTCGTGATGAGACTTCATATTTAGTTCACATATCTGGAGAACTTCCTAGGAAAGCGTAGATACCAAATCTTATGTTCTTTTTTTTTCTTGATCAACAAACACCAAATCTTAAGTTGTTTATATATATTCAATGTGACTCATTATAAACACCTAATCCTATATTTTTGAAATTATCTAAATTTGAGAGTCCTGTAAATCCGTTGGAATCGATGAGACACTTCCTAATATGCTGCTTTCTTCAGGATATTCAACAGAACTTCTTAACAGATTAATAGGCCCTTCTAGTAAAAGAAACTAGTGATAAGGGAAGATTCTTTCAACGAAGACCTAATCGAAAAAATGGTAATACGTTATACTAGATTAAGACATTAACAGTTTATTTGCTTATTAGTCGTTCAACTACATTAGATGTCTTTTAAGCTATCATGAAGCTGGTTTAAACCCATTGTTTATCCTTTTTTTTAATAGGTTAAGTTCATGTTTATCATATTGGAACCTACCTAATTGATTATATATGTCTTTATACGCTTGAGTTGTTCTTAGTGGTTCCTTTCCTCCTAGATTAAGACAAACTAAATACAGCTGTACATATATTATTGTACTATATTTCCTGTCCTACTTCTTTGTGTCCCTTCATTTTCGAACTTTATGTGACTTTTATGTCTATATTATTTACTTCCGGTCATTGACATTTCCAATTGTCTATTAACTTCAATGAGTCTGTCTACAGTCTACAGAAGATAACTTGGGCAAGTGTATTTTGCATTTGCCAGAGGCTTTTATTGCATGACCAGAAAGGGAGGCATTCACATGTAGGATTTAACTGTTTTTTCTAAAAAGGATGAAATTTAGGTGACATGGCCCAAGCATTTTGCTGGATAAACGAAGTAGGAACTTGTAACACTGGAAAACAATTTAACAAGCTAAAATATAAAACCAAAGGAACAAAAACAGTTACAACTATCACATGCTCCAGAAACAACACAAGAGACACAAATTACCAGTCATAGTCATTTTTATCATTGTCAGCATTGAGGAAATCATCAGCACCAGTCTTCCGCACCGGAGTTGCTGATGCAATGTCAAAAATAGGAGAACTACCTCTTGTTGCACCTGCAAGGAAAGTATAATTACTTAACAATATCCCCATATAGCCATGACTTTATCTTATGAAGCAAATACTATTAGAGAACACTACTCCTAATTTCAACCGATCTCACCAATTACCATCTTAAGCAAAAAACCATGTGCCTTAACTATATAAAAATGAATATAAGTCATCTCATTAAGTCAACAAAATCTTAAATGATCCACAAACCCGCCCATCCTAAATACGCAAAAGGCAATATAGTACTTCCTCCGTCTTATTTTATGTGGCACTGAGTTTAAGAAAGAAAAACTTATTGAACTTGTGATCAAAAATATAAATCATCTCATTAAGTTAAGTATAAAGTAAAGATGTCATTCTTCTTTGGACGGACTAAGAAGGAGAGAGGAAATGAACGGAGTAATAAAAAAGAAAACAGAACTTTCATTAAAAGAAATAAAGATGAAAACAGGAAAAAAAAATTAAAAGTTTGTTACCAAGGGGAGCATCAAATTCATCAGAGTTCTGAAGAAGAAGAAGATCATTTCTTTCCTTTTCCCTTCTTCGCATTTCCAGAAACAATGTTAGCTCCTCGTCCTTCTCCTTCATTCCCGAGCTCCTCAGACTCCCCATTTGTTGTTGTTGTCTCTGCCTCAACGCTGACTCTTCTGCCCTAAAACTTCTATTCATTTTCAAAAAAATAAAATCCTAAACCCTCAAATCCATCATTAACGTGGAAAACCACAAATTCCCCCTCTTAAAAACCCTAGCTTTTTCTTCTTCTTTCTGCAAAACTAGAAACTGAAAAGCCTCGTAAAAGTAGCCTTCTGTCTTCTTAAAATCAAAAGCTAGAACCACAGATCGGAAGCTCGGGTTCACTACTCCGCCATTTCCAACAAGAACTTAGCTCAAAATGAAGCTGCATTTCATATTTTTCCAAGCACCAAAAATACCAAAACTTAAATAGAAATATTACAAGTATTTGGAAATAAATTCTTTGCAAGGGAAAAAGGTAGATAGAGAACTAGTGAGACAGCTTCACAAAACCGGCATTGTTGAGAAAGCTTGAAGCTAAAAATGTAGAGAGAGAGGATCAGAGGGACGATCTGTTGAAAGGAGAGAGAAAGTTGAATGGCAAGAATAGTTATTTAGGGGGTATATTGGGGACCAATTGTGATAATCTGAAAGACTTTTCAGGGGAGTTAGGAGTTTTAATTTTTCTCTTCTATTTGGCGTTTTCGGGTTTTTAATAAAGATCACGAGTCACGAGTTGTGGGGCTTAAGTTAAATGCAAACTAAGGGGCCGTTTGGCCAAAAAAATTACTTTTTTTTTCGAAATCACCATTTTTGAATTTTATAATTTTTCGAAAATTTGAAGAACTCCAAAAGGTTTTTTTTTAAATTTTCACTTCAAATCACTCATAAAGTTCAATAAAGCCCAAAATTATATTTATGTTCAAACACAACTCTAACTTAAATACCAATTTAGCTTGAAAAAAATTCACTTTTTTCTGAAAATTTACAATTTTTATTTCCAAACGCCTACTAACACACACAGCTATTCTGGGGATTTCCCTCACTTGAAGTTTACGTTATCAGAATTGGGATCGTTGTCCTTCCACTCTCTAATAATTACAAAATCAGCTCAGTTCCTTCTCTATTTTGGCTAGCATCATTTCTAAGTTAGCAATTGCCGTTGTTTGAGGGAAAAGGAAATATATGGTTCATAATTGTCAAAAGAGCTTAGCATGTTAAATTGTTAATGGTGGAAAAATGTTCTCATCTACAAATTACGGAACATATTATTATTTCAATCACTAACAGAAAAGGCAAGGATAATTATTGCTAATGAAATAAAAACTTAATTACTTCTTATAGCTTCTGTGATTAGAGTTCAATTCAGAAAAATTGTTGCGAAAAAGCAAATAATGCTTATAGGAAAATTTTGGTAAAACAAAAAAGTAAAAATGCATTTGGATGTTAAGTTGTTAGTATTCGGAAATTTGCAAAATTTGGATGCGCTTAACCCTAGTTTGAATGGACAATCTATCCATAACTTGCAATTCCATGCTTCATTGAAATTGCTTTACACTATTTAATACTGTTCGGAGTCAGATAAGTTATGCAGGTTTAACACTATTTTGATTAGTAATGCATGAATTATTTATTATTGAATATTGGCAGAATAGCCTGGGAGACACTTGTACTTGTTCCGGTTTGTCATCCCGGTCCCTACACTCCATAAAGTTTCATCTAGACACTTCAACTTAATCAAAACAAGACTTTTAAACTCTTCGGAATCGCGTGAAGCTCACTTGCTTGACGTGGATGACAAATCAGCATCCACATCAGATTCTATGCCAAAATAATATTATTTAACAAAATTTTAATTTCTTAAACAAAAAATAAAATAAAATAAGCAAAAAATTAAAATTAAAGAAAACCCATTCTCCCTTCTTCAAACCCACCCACTCAACCTTCTTAAAATAATAACCCACCAGCCATGGCTTCTCCACCATGAGTACCACTATTTCCTTCACTCCTCTTTTAAAGAAAGTTAGCTATCCATGAAAAATACATGAGCAGAGAATTAGGTCTTTTGAATTTTGACTTATTCCTCTACCCCAATTTGAAAGGGCTGTGAAAAAATTTAAAAGCTAAAACCATCGGAAAAAATGGAGGAAGGGACTGAAGAAGAAGAGGAGGGGGGGAGGGAGAGCGAAGGGGGAAGGGATTGAAGAAGAGGGGGGAGGGGGGGCAGAACGAAAGGGAGAAAGGGATGAAGAAGAAGAGGAGGGGGGGGGGGCGAGAACGAAAGGGGAAAGGGATGTGAAGAAGAAGAAG